TAAAATAATTATTTAAATGAATTAATCAATTAAATCAAATAAATAATTAAATAAATAAACAAGACTAATTAAGTCGGAGTGTTATATTTGTTATCATGGTAATCTACCTAAAAAGATTGTGAATATATCAATATCATTAAAAATATATTCAATTAGGTCTTACTTTAAATATGCTCTCACTATTTTACTCAAATCAAATGACCCTCACCATTTGACTCAGAAAATTCCATTGGAACATTTTCTAGTGGACCAAAATCCACATTTCACTTTTTTAAAGTCCGCGTTAGGTCGATTACACAAAACTCAGTTGTTTAGGTAGTAGTTTGTTCCAATTGTATCTAATGGAATTCTTGAATATTATCAGTTGGGTGAATAACTCCGTATTAGAATCCATCGTATGGATTGTTCTCAACTCTTTCTTCTAAACATATATAATCTTACTATAATTTGTTTAGTTAAGTTTGACCCAATGTTTTAGCAATTAGATATTACATTTATCCAATCACACCTTACTAATATATAACATGCACGCCGCGTTAGGCGAAACCTATATTATTCGACATTAGTTTTGATGAGTGTTAAAATCTGGAAAACATAAACTTAATATCCATTTTGAGAGGATTTTTAATTAGTTTGATCTCATCGACTTATTTGTCATATATATCATCTATCACATGCATCAACATACATCAACATGCATAAACAAAATGAAACAATTATGGCCCCTAGCGCAATTGTTCCTTCAAGCCAATGAGAGAAACTAAGATAAACCTAATAACGATCTATGCTTCTTCAGGCTAGATCTCCATGGTTGTCCTCCTTTGATATTGTCCCCTTCTTTTCTTATTTATATTATATTACATCAAAGAATACTCACATACGAGGGAGTGAGATAAGAAAAGAGATTACATAAAGAAGATATAGAGAATGACACGACACGTAGGTCGGATTTAAAATTCTCAAAATAAAATAAAAGAAGACTAAGGCCATAAACTCTCATCACAAAAAAATAATAATAAACACATTATTATTATTATTATTATTATTATTATTAAATTTTTTATGACTATTCAATCCACTTCTAGTGACATTTATATCCACTTCACCTTTTTCAAGTGTTGTTGTGACGTGGATCTTATGACATACTCTATGGAGATCTTTTAGTTTTGTCAAAAGGTGGTGGTCGTATATGCAAACACTATAATGTTTAAGTCACTGAAAACCATAAGTATAACGTTTTAGGCAAGGGTGGCAAACATGCATGCTCGCCTCGCAAAAGCCTGCATAAAAATGTGACGGGAAGGGGTGAACATAGTTGAGGGTGCATACCTAAAATCTTAACACAGCCTGCACTAAAGTGCGAGCATTGCACCTTTTAAATCTAAAAATGCATAAAATTATGTTAATGTCTGCAAAAGCATGGAAAAAGAAACGGGGCGGGGTGGACGCATTAAAGAGTGAAGGTCTGGACCTTTGATCTGTCCTGCACTAAAATGGAGATAAAATGAGCATGCCCCATTGGTCTGACTTATTTTTCCACCCTTAATTTTAAGTTAGAATAATACGTACCAAATACTGAAGCATCTCTTTACTTTGAAAAATGCTATTCTTACACCCTTTTTTACACCCAATACTTACACCATATGCACAGTGTTTTTTTATTAAAATAATATATTTTTTTTAAATATTATTTTTTTAAAAAAATATTTATTTTTAAAATTTATTTTATAACACAAATATAAGATTGCGCATTAACCAACTTCATAGTTGAATTAACCACAAAAATCTACATCATTAGCCAATTATTTTACCTATAATTTATTAACCACTTTCACTACTTCATTAACCAATAAAATACACACTATTAACCATGTTCTGAGAAATTTATTCAAGTATTTGTGAATAGTAAATTGGATGTAAAGTGTAGAAAAGGGTGTCAATCATAGCAATTCAGTCTTATTTTAACATTATTTGTAGTACAAATATCTTAAAAGACAATTGTAAGCATACCATATGAATTTTGTATCTAACAAACTATAATGGTTGAGCGACTTCAATTTTATGTGTCTCAAAGATACATGTAACTTCTAGTCCGCATCTATCTGCTAGCTTCAAGTAACCAAAATTTCTCTGTGTTGGGCCAGAAACAATTTTTTTTCAAAAAAGAACTTGAACTCCGTTTAGTTTAAAAAGCCTCCATTCAAATATATATTATAGGCATGATTAAAAAACAAACACCTCACTATTGATTTAAAGATGGTTCTTATAACAAATAAAAATTTAAAATTATGAAAATAATTTTATGTGTCTTCGTTACAAATTTTATTTATAATATTATAAAACTTTATAATTGGATGATTGTATAAATGATTTTATATTTCAATTAATCTCTTAAATTAAAGTTTTAAAAAAGTGTCTTTTTAGTAAATAAATAAAATAGTTTTTTAGTCTATTTTTTAATAAAAAAAGTTTTTATAATTATTAATTAAGTAACAAAAAAAAATTAAATAACATTTATGTTCTCCTAATATTTTCTGTTCATGTCCATAATTTAAAAGCCACGTATTACTTCCCCTTCACTTTTAGCCAGTGGTACCACCTAATAAAACACGTGTCAACATCACATTGCATTTCGCGAATGAACTTCAACAACTTCATATATATATATATATATATACACCCTACTAGAGTGGCGTGCTCGTGTGTGACACTGTGCACTCTCTTACACTGTACCATCACTCCCACTCTCTCCGTCTAAATAGCTTCCTCGTTCTCGTTTTTTTCTTCTCATTGCGTCTCAACAAAATCGAATCTGGCAATCTCAATCGCAAGGCAAACCCTAATTCCCTAAGCTTGCAACACTGTAATCTCTTTCCCCTTTCTAAGAATCGCTTATCCAATTCGTACAATTAGTTTTTTTTTTTTCTGTAACGTTTTATGTTAAATCTATATCAGGGATTCTATTTATCGATTTAGAAATAAATGAAGAAAATTAAATGGCCGATGAGAAAAATTGGATTTTTAATTTTTGTACGCGAAATTTTAAACCCTAGGTTTCTTAAGGGGGCGGAGAGGTTTCCGTTAACTTCATATTAGGTTTTTTTTTCTTTAGGTTTTTATGAGTATATATATATACTAGTGTTAATTTGACATGTTCTTGATGTTTATCTGGAATTAATTTTATTTTTTACTAATATGTGTTTTTTTCTTAATATTGTTGTAGGTATTAGTTTTGCTGCCATAGTTACAGCACTGAAAGAGGTACGGTTGCTAGTAATTATTTTCCATGATAAATTATAATTTGAAATTCATTGATTCTGTACTGAATGGTCATTTGTGACATTATGACCTCAAGCAAATTACCAAGTTTCAGCTACCTGTGTTTGGATTATCATTCATACAAATTCAAATGAATCAAAAATTGATTTCTTATGTGTTGTTGCATTTTGGTGCTTTGATACTGACTACTGAGGCGTACGTTGCGAATGATTAGGTGTCATCTCTGATGGTTTGATTATATAGTTTGAAATATAATTCACTAGTCTTGCTTATATCCTAAGTTCAATGTCCTAGTAAAAATCAGGAAGACTTCATACCGGTATTTATGAAGTAAGTCATGCTGTTGTGTCTTTTTTTTATTGTGACATAGGTTATTCTTAGTAATCATGCTATTTTGGGAAGCCAGCTTATTGTCTAGTAACACGGTGACAATGGAGTTAGCTAGTACCATGGTATTAATGTTATTAGGTCTGTTCATGGTTTGGTTTGGAGAGAAAACTGAACCGGGAACGTTAGTCCAGTTCACAAAAACTGAACCAAACTGTTGATTGTCCGTTCTGAACAAAACCAAACTGGCATAACAGTTCTGTGAACCGGTTCTACATTTTCTAACTGAACTGAACCAAAATAGAATGGAAACCATAATTCAAAAATGTAAATCATTTTATATATTTCTATATTTCTATATATCAATTTAAATAGGTTCATGCACACAAACACATAGTAGACAAATTCAGAAAGAGGTAATTTATGTTCAGAAACAAGATGGGAGGCAAGTGTCAAAGCACAAAGCAACAATATCCATTAAAAAATATGAAAAAGAAAATCAAATGTATACACCTGGCCATATTTGCAGAAAATTAAATTGGGAGGTTCCTGAGAATTTTGGCGGTGGCTATTCCATTTACGACGGAGATTCTAGTTGTGACATAGTTTCTACTCACATCGTCACTGCTATGTGATGCAAATGTTACTCGCTACAATGTTACTACGTGATACAAATGTGCAACGACACTGCTGTGGGGTTGATCTTTTTGAGCAATGGGTGGCGATGCTACGCCCGGATGGCAAAATTTGAGATAAAAATTGGCTGACAGAGCTTCAATTATTATCTCTAATTTGGGTTTTGGGGTTTTTTGAATAATGATTTTTGAGTTTGGGTTTTCTTGTTTTAGGATTTGTTTGATTTAATTTGGTTTTACCAATCTGATTTTACGCTACTAGAATTTATTTTGGTTCAGTTATGTTATAGTTCACTACTAGTTTCTAATGAATGGTTCGGTTCACAAACCATTTTGATAAACAAGATTTGGCTCTCAATTTTACCGAACAGTTCAGTTCTCCGGTTCAGCTTGGTTGAGCTCAGTTCTCCGGTTCAGTTTTGTTCTTGGATTTTTTGAACACCCTAAGTGTTATTCCAACATAAAACTGTCAAATCTACTTGATATGGATTAGTTTAGATGCAATATTGTTGTCATAATATTGTTTTGTTATGATCTTAGTATTTTGGGCTAGTAGATTATTCATTGTCTTTGGCGCACTCTTCATAGTTTTTCTTTAGATTATTGAGAAAATTACCTGTGATCCTATGATACTGATATTTAAAATACTCCAAGTAGCTTTTTGATAGTTTTAAACTTGTTTCTCTTTTTTAAATTAGCTTAAAGACAATTTTCCTCTTACTGTAGTCACTAATGCACTAATTTAACAGATAAACCAAGATGGAGCAACAAAACCAAAATAATACGCCAGATGGTTCAGGAGATGTGCCTCTGAAGCGCAAACGTGGTCGCCCACGGAAATACCCAAGGCCAGATTCAGCAGAGAGTTCCTACATGCAACTTAGTCAAAACAGAAAGCAGACTCCTATTCGTGCCGAACATTCCCCAGTACCTCCTGGATTTCAAACAGTTAATGGTAATGAACACCTTCAAAGGGGCCTAGAAAGTGAACCAAATGATGCAGCGGTGGGCCAGGTTGTTTCTGGTGTAATTGAGGCAATATTTGATGCTGGATATTTGCTCAGTGTTAGAGTTGGTAATTCCGATACTACTTTGAGGGGACTAGTCTTTAAGACTGGACGTTTCGTTCCCGTTTCCCCTGAGAATGATGTGGCTCCAGGTGTTCCAATGATCCAAAGAAATGAGGTTCCCTTCCCTTCAAGACCTACTCAGTTTCATACTCCTCTTTCAAAGGAAAAGAATGGGCAACCTGCTAGCACTTCTAGAATTGACACCCTTCCAATGAATGGTTCACAATCTGTCCCTCAGGTTCCCAGAGGAACAGTTAGTTCTGGTAACATGGTTGCTGCTTCCAGAACGAACGTTCCTTATGCGACTGGTCAAACCGCTGATCAACTAGCCAGAGGTAATGTGGTGCCAATTTTGTTCCAACCTAGCTTTTTAAACGGGATGACGGCTTCTACTTCACCAGTACAAATCACCCCAGTTTCTCTAGCGGGTGGGGTGAATATTGCGGGCAAGGAAATTCCTGTAGATGGAAATCAAGCACTTAATTCTCCTGCTCAAACTAGCCAGAATTTGTTTCCAAGTAGCATGCAGAGCAAAGGTGTTCCCTCGAATTATCAATCTTCCGATGTGTTGAATAAATATGCGGACAAATCATCAACAGTGGCTAGCATGCCTTTTGAGCAACTGGTTACTGAAGGTGTTAAAAGGCTCGAAACTCCAACAGATGCCATGGATTCAAAGACCGGAAACCGCACATCAGGCAATAATTTAGCGTCAGAGGATCCCAGCATTATGCAGGTAGACAAAGTCAATGACGCGGGTCAATCTGTCTTGGTTGAGCCTAATTTCGCGTCTGCTTCCAAAGCTTCAGACTACACTGAAACTGGCAAAATGACGGAGCTTTTGCAGCAGGTATAAAACTAGGCTTTGGCTTATTTTGATTGAAGGGTGATATAGGAATAACTTGGTTAAATAGGATGAAATTAGTAGAGATTTTAATATACTGATATCTCGTAATGTGATAAGGTTCTGCAGAATAACAAAACAGAAAACCAGGAAGGCAAAGCAGCAGAGGCAGGATCTGGAGACAAGTTGGGTGATATAAGGACTTTTGGAACTGGATTTCAAGATGGTGGAACTGTTCATTCAACAAATCCTTTCTGAGCATTCATTGCTTAATTTATAATTTTTTTTTATAATTATTATTAGTGGCTATTATTCCAGCAGGATTATCTATCATAAAATAGTTTAAGTTATTGGCAAAGTGAAATATTTAGGATTTTCAAGTTAGTTTTTAGGATCTTTAATAAATTAAATGTGCAAGCCAAGCCTTATTTGGTTTGTGGATTTCACCTTATTTTTGGATGTTAATTACTTTTTTGACCAAGCCTAACTATAATCTTTGAATTTAATAATGTGTGATTTGTTTTTGGAATTTTTTGGGTGGATTTATTCACCTTTTAAGTTAACTTTTTTTTAGCATACTCCATCCTGAGTGAAATGTAAACAAGATAAGATACTACTTTTACAAGAAAAGATACTATTTTTAAAAATGGGATATAGACAAAAAAAAGTTAATTATTTCTCCATTTTATGATACTATATTTATGCTTTTTCTTTTGGGACATGACACTGTATATAACCTACTCTTCATTTAAACACATGGTAGTTTAGGAAATACTCTAACCAATTTTATTGAAGTGGTATAATTTAAATGAATATAACCTACTCTTCATTTAAACACATGGTAGTTTAGGAAATACTCTAACCAATTTTATTGAAGTGGTATAATTTAAATGATGAAATCAACTACTTTTTTTTAAGGGTAAAGATACTGCACATTTGGAAATCAAAATTTGTCTTTTAATTTTTGAGTTTCACCTAAATTTTAAGAAATTATGGTTCGGAGATGTATCTTTTTGTATTCTATTTGGTGTATTTGGAGATGGATCTCAGTATAATTCTCTAAACTATTTAATAACATCATCTTTACCTCACCTAAATTTTAAGAAATTATGGTTCGGAGATGTATCTTTTTGTGTTCTATTTGGTATATTTGGAGATGGATCTCAGTGTAATTCTCTAAACTATTTTATAACATCATCTTTACCTCAGTATCATAATTCCTGAATCATTTTATAACATCACCATTGTTTCAATATCATAACTTTTTTAGGCTAATTTATATTAAAGTAAAATAAAGTAAAATTAAAGTAAAATGATGTTATATTAAAGTTAAATGAAAGCAAAAAGTTATGTATTAATCCAAAAAATCAAAATTATTTATAATATTTGTTCGAAAATGCTAAAAAATGATACATCCAAACATAAACAAATTATTGAATATGTCTAATCTCCCTGCCTCCTCCTTCGTCTGTATTGCATGATATGTCGTAACTCGGCATCCATGCGCTGCACAAAGGACGGGGAATTGCTATTCTGAAAGAGTCCTGACTTTATAGCTGCTTTACCCATCTTCACAATACGTCGACAGGTCGTCGTCACGCTCTATGCCTACTCATCCTGAATCTCAAGTACCTCTTAGTTAGTTGACCTAGGTGGTCCTCCTGGAGTGTCTGGCGTCATGATAGGGTTGTTAGACGATGACAATGATCTAGAAGGGGGTTGAATAGATCACTAATTTTTAACAAGAGTTGGCGCTTAAAATTTTGTTTTCAAAATATGCGGAAGTGGCCTATGAACCAAATCGTCTAAACGAACCATTATTGAAAAGATCAGATATGCGAAAAGCCAAATGGAGTAAAATTGAATGAGAAAACGAATCAATGATTTTCCAATTAATCAATACAAGTAATTTCCACTTAGTTTATCCTATTTCCAATGAATGTAAAAAGTAAACTTAAATTAGCAATATCACAAACAATTTGTGTGCACTCAATACATCGACCGCTTGGTGTGCACAACACCCAAAGTTGAATTTTCTTTGTAATTCTAGTGCATAATTTTTCACAATCACAATCCAAGAGATTGTAATTAGTTTTGCAAAACAGTATTTCAGCATTACATAACAGAGGAAATTTATCGAATAATCGAAATCACACAAACGTTAACTACACAAATAAAAGATATAGAGAAAGAGAGAAGAACACCAAATTTGTTTAGGCAGTTCCCCTTTTCGGCCTTGCTTCAGGTACGTCTGTCCCTAATTCTAAAACTAGAATTGAGATATTTATTATCACGTTGCAAAGTTTATACATGAGAAGTAATAGTCACCACCACTCAATCCTAATTGTTGAATTGATAATATTCCCTTCTCTCCCCTTGATTCAAGTCGAATCAAGTGCGTTAAACACTTCGAAGAAACCTCTGGTTACCGCTACTTGTTTGCACAAACCAACACTCTTCAAACCTTTCGCTAGGCTGATTTCGAACACAAGACGTTCGACCCCAAATCTTTCTTCATAATCCTCTGGTTACCCTTACTTGTTTGAACGAACCCACCGTTCTTCAAACCTTTCACTCGGCTGAATCTGTGAGGCAAAGATTTGTACAAAAGCCCCCAAATCCTCAAGATCTTGGAGGGCAAAATCCCAATGGTTTTATTCAAGAAAAACCCACTGAATCCTCAACCCAAACTAGATACACAATCCTATGTTTGGACGTTATCACCTCGACAAAGCACAAGATCAACAAAAATTGTTATGTGTAATTGTTGAAGAATGCAAGTGAGAATGAAGGTGATGAACAAAAATTAGTGTATAACTTTCACTTTTCTTGTTCTATTGATGTAATGATGAGACAATGAATATATATGATGCCAAGACCCAATAACTAACATAACAACACTTTGAGCCACAACAGACCATAAAAATTGACTCACAACAGCGAGCGATCGACCTAAGCATTTGGTGGGTCGATCTGTGCACACCCGAATGCAAAACTACACAAAAAATCAAGCGATGCAAGAGAAGTAATAGTCACCACAACTCAATCCTAATTGTTGAATTGATAATATTCCCTTCTCTCCCCTTGATTCAAGTCGAATCAAGTGCGTTAAACGCTTCGAAGAAACCTCTGGTTACCGCTACTTGTTTGCACAAACCAACGCTCTTCAATCCTTTCGCTCGACTGATTTCGAACACAAGACGTTCGACCCCAAATCTTTCTTCACAATCCTCTGGTTACCCTTACTTGTTTGAATGAACCCAGCGTTCTTCAAACCTTTCACTCGACTGAATCTGTGAGGCAAAGATTTGTGCAAAAGCCCCCAAATCCTCAAGATCTTGGAGGGCAAAATCCCAATGGTTTTATTCAAGAAAAACCCACTGAATCCTTAACCCAAACTAGATACACAATCCTATGTTTGGACGTTATCACCTCGATAAAGCACAAGATCAACAAAAATTGTTATGTGTAATTGTTGAAGAATGCAAGTGAGAATGAAGGTGATGAGCAAAAATTAGTGTATAACTTTCACTTTTCTTGTTCTATTGATGTAATGATGATACAATGAATATATATGATGCCAAGACCCAATAACTAACATAACAACATTTTGAGCCACAACAGACCATAAAAATTGACTCACAACAGCGAGCGGTCGACCTAAGCATTTGGTGGGTCGACCTGTGCACACCTGAATGCAAAACTACACAAAAAATCAAGCGATGCATCAACCGGAACAGGGTCATGCGTCGACGCAAGGTTACTTCAAAATAACAAATTTTTGCTCTTCCAGTATGAGTCGACCTATGGGTCGACATGAGCAGACCCGAGAGCAATTGATTTTTGATCAACATGTATGCATCGACCTCCACAGGACTGTGAGTCGACGCAAGGACCTTAGAATGACAAAAACAAGTTCTTTGCTAATATTTTGGTCCAGCTAAACCATTTTTGTGTATACCTAAGGTATCTAATATGAGCAAGTGCACAAATATCATATATGAGATGCTCCTATTTGTATAGACACATGAACATGGAATATTTTGCGCATTTTAAAGAATGAATGCAATCTAAGACACGATCATACCGTCCAAAGTACAAAGTACGAGCTAATACAATTTTTGAAATTATTAAAATAAGGACTAAGGAACCTTGCCCTCACATACTCCCCCTTTTTTATGATGGCAAAATCGTTGCAAAATCTTCAACTTATCAAGTACTTTGAGAAGCATCCTCCCCCTGATTTTATGCATTACTCTATGAGAAAATTCTGATTTGTCTTTGTGAAGCGCTGCTTTTACATTCTCCCCCTTTGACAACATAAAAAAGAGTGAAGCACGAGGTCAACTGAAATCAAAACATATTCATATGAGCACAATCACACACTTTTCAACAGATAAACATCAACAACCATTCATATAAAATGATGTTAACACAAGGGATATAAACATAAATAGAACAAAAAACATAGAAAAAGAAACTTAGTACATTACACAACCAAATTTGTTCAATACATGTTCCAAGTCAACATATCCAAAATATAAAACAAAACACAAAATAACATGCAAAATGAAACATGAAATGCACAACACAGCTTAACACCCTATGGTCTCCTTCCCCTATGTGGGTGACCCCTCCCTCTAAAAGAGTAATCCAAATGTGGTGCTCTTTGCTCCTCTTAGCGTTAGGTGAAGTCAATAACGGTCCTGTTTAGAGTGTTGAAGGCAACAAAGAGAGATCGATGTTGACTTGTAGCATTCTCAGCCATAGTATGATGCTGACTTGCAGCATTCACAATCATTGTATCAAACCTTTTTAGGACTGTGGAAGCGAACAAGTCAAAGTTATCACTTTGAGCTTGAAGTTGACTCTGTAAAGCTGTGTATCTCCCCTCTTGAAGTGTAGCAAAGTTTTGTTGTTGAATTTACATATTCCTCAACATTTCCAGGACTTCAGAGTTATCCAGTTGGTATTGAGGTGTATATGGCGGCATGTAGGACGAGCCTTGATTAGTCTAGCTTGCATGTTGCCATTTTCCCTATCCTTGGTTAGCATATGGATCATGTCCAGGTGAATCACCTAACCAATTACCATGATCGTCAACAAAATGGTCATCCTCTTCCATGTAATGAGTTTCCTCATCCTCTTCTTCGTCATACTCTTCATCCTCATCCGAATTTTGAACCCTTGAACTTGAGGCTTTTATCTTGAACCTATACCTTTGCTCTTGACGATCCTAAAGGTAACCCATCAAAGTT